TCGAACAAGTCGCTCGAAACACATCGTCGTGATTAATAACTGCCCAAAAACTGACGCCGTGCATCATTAGTAATGTATTTTCAGTTATCAACAATGTATACGATGGAAACACGTTTACCGCGTTAAAAGATATCAGGCAAAGATTGCTTACTAATATTATGCTACAGCGCACGAAACGAAAAAATTGGGCGCCAGGTGCGGGAAAGGCCGCGCTACCTCGGGACACCAAAATGCGATAGCACTCGAAAATTCGCGTGATTCTAGGACAGGTAGCTCTCCGTTACTTTAAGTCGGTAATGGATAGGGTTTAGGAGGTGACAGGGACGGAAAGAGAATAGACTCCAGAAATTTAGCGATAATTGAGCCTTTATTGAGCGGGACTCGCGTGTCCCGATTACTTCGCGATATGCTTGGAAAGTCTTCGGCAATGTCGCCACCGCACGTGTAATTTTGACGATATTCGTGGGGCTCGATACGAAATCGCGGGCGCGACAATTGCGGCCCGAGGACGGTCTCCTCGGGCGAGCCTCTTTACGCGGCCGCTCCGCAGACGAGACGACGGCAACATACAATAAAAATTTTACGATCACGCTACGGAAATGTCAGAGTAGATGGGAGAACTTACAAGGTACGCTGGCTCGCCCTCGCTAGCGTCGGCTGTGGCGATCCTCGCTCCTCTTCACACGGCCGGGCACTCCCTCGATCTCTTGGCTCGTCGTCACTCACTCGCCCTCTTGCCTGTACGCCCGCTCAACCCCTCGCTCTCATCCTCGTCCTCTCACACTCACTAACTATTGAGGCGATACTCGCAATGTCGTCTCGCGCGCGGAAAACTCTCGGTTCGATAACATACGTTCGCAGGAACGGTCGCGGCTAGGCTGAAGAGTAGGCCGTTCCTCGGGGATCTCGAATTCTGGGAGTTCTCCCCCCCCCCCTCGTCGCTCCTTTCCGCGTGCAGAATTCCTCGTCTTCGCCAATCGGCAATCGACAGCTTTCGGTAGAGTTGTTTCGAGACGTTAATTGTCTTGAGACACTTTCGCCGTCGATGTTGGCTCGCGGACTTGATCCGCACACACCATTCCTTCTAGTCGGGATTCTCGGGACGGTACTGTTCTCCCGCTATCGCTCCTAGCTTCCCGCTGCGTTTGCTAAATGTCAGCTGAAAGGTAAACACAGCTGACAGCAGTGGCCCGTGATACGACTGTTACGTTCTTGTGTTAGCGAATATTCTGAGCGATAGAAAATTCGGGAACTCAGAGCGATCGGAATAAGAAAGAATATTATAGCGCTAAGTAATGCGAGAACGATCACCTGAGCGAGAGCGATGAGCTGGCGGTTGATGCTCTTCCGTCCCACGTCGTCCTCGGATTCCGCTGGTCCTGGTGGCTGGCAAAGGATACCGAGAGGGCACAAACTCTGGGACGCGATGGTCTACGCATCTGCTTGCATAAAATAAACTCTGAAATCTGGTTTTAAGGACTCACACGAAAAACGAATGATATTCCGAGATGCGATACGCAAAAAATGCTCGCGAAATCGATGCGGTCTTTCTTGGGACGGTTGCCTCCGAGGCTGCCACGTCACAGTACATTTCTCGATGTACGCGGCATATACGATCGCACGCTCGTTCGGCGCATATGCATGGTTATACACATACATGTGTACACTCACACACGATGCATTTTCGTGTTCGCGTATATATTTTTTCGCGAAAGGCATACTACCAGTCAACCTGCCGGATCGATTTGACATGCCTTGTCTCGATTTCAGCTCTCGGATCTGCTCGCCGAGCGAAGCAGATGAAATTAATTAGGTTGCGGGCTCGCGCGCATCGAGGGAAGAACACAGTTTCTTTTGCCTCTCCTCTCACGACAACGGCGACAACGACGATAGAAAGGACGATAGCAAAGACAGCGATGACGATATGCAAATTGCGCGTCTTTCCGCGTCCTGTACAGGACGCCATCGATTTTCCTCTCGGCGTCGTCGTCGCCTTATACAAAGTTAAGATATTTGTTGAAAT